AACTACCGCATCAATTCTTGTTATATGAAAACCCATCTGTACCACGAATCGTTTCTCAGTCCATAAGATGATTGTCGTAACGCAACCTTCGTAACTTGCGCCAATTACTCGCTTTGTACATTCCATCTTTAAGAAAACAATGAATCTCGTGAAAAGTTTCAGTAACTGTATACCGTTTTAAAAAAAAATACGTTGCTAATCTTAACATTTTGATCTTGCCTGTAAATTGGCATGTCTCTTGTAACATGTTTGTTATTTGAGAATAAATTATTATTGTTATTATTATTATTATTACCTTGAGAACAGAAAGTTTCGTACCAAAGTAAATAGAGCACACACGATTTGGCGAGTATCAACATCGCGAGTTTCACAAAGGACCATCTTATGCCCACTTCTCTTCCTGATATTCATTAATGAGCTATTAGTCAAAGTTAGCTAGACGACAGTGATCTATGCATATGATGTAAAGATCTGGGGTTCCAATTAGAAGCGAAGAGGTTTCGACTGAGCCCGAAAGGACCTTCATCCTTTGAAGAATGAGTAATGAATAGCGATTTAAAACCGAACCAGCCAAAATTCACGTGAGAAACATTTTAACCCACATGACGCAAACGATTTACACCCTCAACGTAATTCCGCTCCCCAATGTATCCTCAGAGAGCGATCTCAGTTTAATAACCACTGAAAACCTCCCCACCACCTCGAACTACATAGGGCAGGCAGCCAAGGCAAGAGCAACTCTCTACTTTTCGCCAAGACAACCTGGTGCTATCACCTCAGAATTGTTCTTGACGCTGTTTGATACACACCTTGAAGTCCACAAAGTAGTTGAATCCCCTGTCCTTAAAAGAGACATAAATCTATTGGATCGAGTGCAGAGACGATAGGGTGGAAGAACAAAATTTGCGAAGATAGACTTCAGCACTTAGGATTATTCTCTCTCAGCTACAGGAGAATCAGAGTGGATATGTTAATCACGTAGAAAAAATTAATACACCAATCCATTCCAAAGACAGCATATTACCGAAGCATCATCACCACGCCCTTCGAGGTAGTCCTCGAAAAACTACGCATCAAAGAGCGAGCACTCATATTCGGGTACAACTTTTTTCATTGGGAGTGTTTGCGATTTGCAATGTCCTACCAGCCGAGGTGATCACAGCCTCTGGATTGGCGAGCTTTAAGAAGAGACTTGATAAACACGTACTCACATACACAAGATCATCTTCCTCGTGGACCAGCTGTGCCTGAGGCATGTCTTGGAACCTGCTAGTTGTTACTATATTGCCATCTCCTCAGATCACCATTTTGGTTTATCTCGATTATTATCTCTGTTTCCTCTTCCTTACTTGCACTTCAGTCCTCTCACATAATATTCGCTACCAATTAATAAAATAAACTATTCACTTATTTTCTGAGTTCTGAAATCCTATTAGCATTAGAATTTTCTCTTTGTTATGCTTCACATTACAACTAAATAACATCCAGCCTGGTAACGTGATAGCTGCTGTTATTTATAAACCAAAGTGTCCTGAAACAAACGAACTCACTCAAATCAAGGGACTCATAAACAACTGCCAACTGACTAGAATTAGTGCAGTGGAGTGGCTAGACCCCTATCCCCTTGGCACTACCAAACAGCTGGAACCTTACCGTAAGAACGAGAATCATGAGCAAAGAAGTCAACTGGTTTATTACAGCTCGTGAAAAAGATATTGGATTTTGAAGAGACAAGCATTCGAAATAAATTCTACCTGCTGGTTCATGGTCATTAAAGCTGTTGTAGGTCTTGTTTTCGTTATTTAGTCACTCTAACCAAGGTCTAGTAAGTAGTCAAAAACAATAAATGAATAAAAGTAATAAAGCCTGTACCTCTGTTCTTCTTTTCAGGTTGATCTGAGTTATAAATGAGTGAAGCATATGGAGGGAAGGAAAATGTGTTTGGGAAGAAAACCATTATCTATACAACAGAAAGCCCGCTAATGTGTATGGCTGTAAATTCTAAAGCTGAAATGGTGGCAGTAGCTGGTAGAAATCTTTTCCAAGTATTCAGTGTACATGAGGACAAATTCGTTTCAGTATGTTAAAATAATTTTTCAGTCTTTATACTTCCTGTTTGCGCTTAAAGGCAAAATTTGTAATTCATAACAAGTATTTGTGTGAATTGAATGTTTCTAGGGTGGATTTAGCTTAATCCAGCTGTTCATAGGTTTTATTTTCTTACTACCACCAAACAAGGTTTTATGTTTAGTTCATGCATGAGTGTCATTTTCTCACTGTTCGAAGACATTAGAATCAAGTAAAATATATGTAACCAATCACTAGTTGATGATAAATGGCCTGTTCTCCAGGTGTAACTATAAAATGACAAAAGCTTCTAAAACTAAGCTACTGTGCAGTGATATTACCTATTGGTTTATTTGCATATATCAATCACCCTTTTTGAATAGCTTTCTTTCTTAGTTAAAGATCCCCGACTTGCTTCACCCCTTATGTTACGCTGGCGCAGGGTAAATGGCTCCTAAGGTAAACGGTCAGTGTGTAAAAATTTAGGATTGGTCATTTTTGAAGAATCCTATTACATAAAAACTGGTAATTTTTGGGAGATCGATCCACATCGTTTTCTAAGACGATAGCTCTCTGACCCATTAGTTGATCATGTGTCCATGTGAAATGCCTTTATTGAGTCAACATACGCGTCTTTAGAGGTGGTTTAAACGAGTGTAATATGAGATCTCTGGAATGCCTAAACCAAATAGAAAATTTACCTGTCCGATGTAGATCATTGAAGAGTTCATGTTCATTAAACAGTTCAGTAACAGATTTCATTAACTGTTAACGCTACAATTATTCCAAAAATTCCCACTTTCGCTTTATTTTTGAACTGTATCATTCAGCTTCATCGCGTTAAAACGCCTTCGCGTTTGGTTGTGTCTGATATTCCAAAGTTAAAAGCACCTGTAACTGATCCAAGCGGAACAGAATGTGGGCCGAATCCGACTCATGGTGCTATTGTTACTTCAACAGAACCGATACCAGCTCGACACAGTCCTGTGATACAATCAACCATAAATCAACCTCGTTCTCACAGCGTTACAGACGTAAGCTGGTCAAATGTAGGCGGTAAGTCTTACAAATGATGATTAGCGTTACCTTAGTTCATGTAATCTTACGATATTCGAGCTCACTGTACACTTCTATTTCATATGTTCTGGTCTTTCATTTAAGATTTATCCATTCAAGTAACAGGCAGTTAAGCTACCAGTGTGATAATTTTCTGATGTTAATTATGCCAATGATTATATAACTTGAGATTTAACCCTGTACGTATATACCTGTTTTCACTTGTGATTACTTTTAATGGATTTAATCACAATATAGTAGATGTGTCCTAGACATCAGTACCGAGTACCTGGTGCTTATTTATCTTATATATATTCTGGTTATCTGGGGAAAGTATAAGCTACTTATATTAGCTAGTAATATTTAACTCGCGGTTGGTGTTTTAGTACCTAGCTTTGTAGCGTAATTACTACACTCCGCAGTTAGTTTCATCGTTTTTAATGGAAACTGAGTTATCTGATCTAAATTCTAAAATGGTGAATGATACAAGTTCGAGTCCTTATTCAAACACCAGGTTTCATGGTTTTTGATACGTCTTACCATTCTTTAAAAAAAGCGAGATACATGCGAAAAGAATGATGCAGGTCACCTTCCACGGTTGAGCATATTTTTACTTGGTTTATTTGACCATGACCATAGATTCATTTGTTCGTTTATGACTTTTTCTAAATCAGTTACTCTAATTCTATCACGAAGCTCTTACACTTTATGTATTTCCTTAACTTAGATATCCTTGCAACTGCATCTACAAGTGGAGACGTGATGTTATGGGATGTTGGCAGGGGAATGACTCAAAGTAAGCTATTATTTTGCAAATAAATGTCATTGTACGTAGATTAAGGTCTGCACAAAGTCAGTTTATGTGCACCTACTTCACTCTAGTAATTTAGATTTAGTTTCGACCATGTTGGGACTTAGCATCGATTGACTACTGCAGATTCTTTTTTATTTCAATTGCTTAAGTAAACGAGACGAAATATATTTTTAATAGTTTTCTTGTACTCAAATGACACATTCAGTTTAGTGTAGTGGCAACTAAAAACTGTTCAGACTTGATAAATGACCACCCGAACGGCAAAGTTTGCTAGTCGTCTTGTCATTGATTTTTAGTCATACGAATGTCGAAGTCAAATATACTGTCTTGTGAGCAATCGCCACTCGATCAGTCAATTAACATTCTTTTCACCGACTTTAGCAGTCAAAATTCTATCCAATCAATCCACAGAATACCTCCATAACAGGTAGCGGTTAATCACTTCATTTAGGATTTCCTTGTCTTAGCCTACTCCTCACTTGTTGGTAGCTACGATAAAAAGTAAGCTCAAGACATAATTTTCTTTGTTTGACGAATATTTTCCCAGTTTGCGCGGTTGTAGACTTCATGTTGAACGGCTAGAACATGGCCACAATAGCACAAATCTATCCATTCTTTATTCATAGCTTTTTTCTCGAAAGTTATTAGTAAGGAACTGTAGGCTCATGTACCAACCTTAACTAATGGTAACGTGTAAATACAAATTTCGATATTGGTTGTCTGCTTTGATGTGCATTCTGCATTCAAAGTAAAGTGAGTTACGTATGATTGTTTTGTAACTGAGTAGCTTATGAGTTTGATCTTCAGCCTTGGGATTGTTTTCAAACCCATGTCAACAATTATTATTTAAAGGGATGAATCATACGTTATGTAGTCATATCAAAAGCATAGATGACCATCAAAAGTATAAATATGTAACCTAGTTCCTTGTTGAATTTTGACTTTATGTTCACTATATTGCAACATATATATACTCTTATCAACACTATTCTGTAGATTCAAGTCATTTATATATGTATGCCCTGGTATGGCCGACGGTGAAGGAAGTTCTTTCTTCTCGAAATGCTCATATGACTACGCGTATATAGCCACTAGCAGAGAAATCATACTCACTATCCTCTCGCAATCGGATGTTGTTTGCGAAATTGAGTGAACACAAGATGGATGTCCAGCTCTTAAACCAAGTTAGTTGGTATGGAAGACTTACCCAAGGGAGTTAGAAAACCCTGATTCTACACCAATAGTGCACATAGGCTCCATGATTCTGAAGGAACAAATTGTTAGGATATTGATCCAATATCCTAAGAGAATTATTTGTAAGTCTAATTCTATTGGTCGATTCCTATTGGTCGTCCTAACTGTCAAGGCCGCATACTTCAATGTTGTTTCCTATTCGACCTAACTGTATAAATATGCATTTTCTGTAACCTTTTATGACCCGGACCCGGATCCTTAGTTCGGGATCCTGATTCTCTTCTGGACTGGGACCTCGTACTTTCTGGATGCTCGTAGAATACATGTCCTACTTCATATCAAATCTTCTTTTACTCAGTGGGAATTTGGGACGTTCGAATTAGAGTAGCCTATCGTGTCACCGGATTCTCGCTCTTGTTTTCCGACTAAGGTAAACTCGTAATAGTTCAAGCATATCAAGCGACGCGTTGACGTTCATACGTAACACAAATAGCATATCGACCCATTCTCGATCACCGGCCACCATGGAAATACATCTCATGTTACCTCGTTGCTTTGTGAATTAGAATTCTGAGTCAAAGGCTCAGAGAATAGTCCCCCGAAGAGAACCACCTACTTTGGTCTAGATACCCATGCAGTATGCTAATGCCAATATTTATGTCGATATATATGCTTTCTGCTGTGTTATTCTGTTAAAGCTGCATGTTTTTCTGGACATAACCGGTCAATACATTGCATTCATTTCAACCCCACTATTAGCACGGAATTAGTGACAGCATCACAGGATGGAAAATTGAAGCTGTTTGTAAGTTTATTTTGTTAAACAAATATGATCCAAGGTTGCTAAATTCACATTATTGATTTACTGGTATTCATGTTAGTGATTACTCACTTTAAGTCTTAGAGAAATAGAGATACTCCGAACTTGTTCAATATAGTGCAGATGAAAAGAGAACTTTCCCTATATGTTTTTATATCATCTCGTAACAAAATACTGTGACACTAAATCAGTTAAACTTTTAATGATATATCAAATCACTTATGCGGTATATAATCATAAGATATAGCTAAAACTGTAAATTTCTAGATTAGAACTATTGCATCAACTTACTTTTAAAATGCTTATATCTGCAGCTCACTTTTCAGTTCATTCGATAATGAATTTTGCTTAAAATAGTTCTCTATTTTTTATTTTGAGAGTTACGCTTAAAGTTCATATCTTTGTAGAATCAATAGATAGGGAGTTAATCATAGGTTAATGTTTCTTTCACACGTATTGCAATTCCTTAATTTTTAGAAAATAATATATTTTAATTAAGTGCTTGTCTACTCTAAATGAATATCTGAAAACCATCATCCTAAAATGTATTATAGTGTTATTGGAATGTAGGTTTCCAGTTGGTTATACATCAATTTATTACAAGATATGTTTGTTTCTTTTTCTGTAAAAGGAACTTCTTTTTTTAAGTCTAGTCAGATGTGTACTATCTTTGATCCTTCTATCAGGAGTTTGGATTACTGTCAAATACATAAACATTTAGTGGTAAATTAGTTAAATTACCAATCAGTGATTATGGATAACTTGTATATTACAATCGTCTACAAATAATTCTCATGAAAAATGTCAATATTAGTGAAAAGTATATTGAATTTGGAACCGTATTAGCTGCAGGATCTTTTAGGCTAGTTGGCGTACTATCGGTTGGTAATACGATTTTAATTTTAACTTAAGCCATGATAAACTTCATGATGGAGAACTAATTTTAAGGCGTGTAATAATCAATAGCCAACTGACTAATAAATGATGAACTATGCTACAGTGGAGTCAACTAATGTCAGCTGATATCAAAGCACAACAGTATTGCTAGCTGTTCTGTTTTCTTCACAGTATAAACACCACAATAACATACAGGATATTGAACACAAAAATAAATGTGACAAAATTTCATTTAGCATCTAAACAACTCCAGTATATAAGTTTTTCAAGTCACTCATAAACCAATAAAAGTGTTTCAGTTGTAGATATCGGACGTTGTTTAATGAGTTTTTAGTATCTATCTCGCTTTGTGGGGGTTTTGATTCAGCGACTAAGGCATTCGAAATTGAGCCACTAAGCCAGTGGTTCAAACTAAACCCACTTCCGTTTGGGTATCTGGTTAATCTTACCATACCTCATAATGTGACTCAGAGCCAAGTATGTTAATTCGTGCTTGCTAAATAAATTATTGTTTCTAAACTGAGTTTCTATCAGAGATTGATGAACAGTTTAATGATCAAAAAAAATTTCTAAGTACCGTTTTATATTCTAGGATGCAGATCTTACTCATCGTACTGAGGTTATAGTTAGTATTATATCTGCCTTGACCAAGGTAAATAAAGTGAAGTTTGATCCTAGAACGTCTGGGCTACCTTTCAAACCAGATTCCTGTGTTTCATACAAATAATTACTTAGTACCTTATAATACCGATTGACAACCTAGTGGTTTCAAGAGAAAGTATCATATTTAAATGACACTGCTTTGGTAAATTCAATCTGTATCAATCATTTGTTGTCTATATATATGTATTTTTTTTCAAAAACAGTCACTCAGTACGTTCTTAAATGTGAATTATGAAAACAAGTAAATAAGTAATAAATTCAGTTATATAGTTATCATCTTATTTTCAAAGGATATTCGTGATCCGAATCCGAGTTCTTCATGTCAAATATTCTTTCAAAGAACTGCGTCACCATCTCCTGTAAGAGATGTATCATTTTGTCCTAAACAAGGATACTTGATTGCCGCTGCTCAAGAAAATGGTGTTATCAGTATTTGGGATACAAGAAAAGGCTCACGTCCTTTTCGTGCTTTTCAAGGTCATTCATGTTCTATAACCACACTGGACTGGCATCCAAATTGGAACATAACGACGTAAGTATATTCTTCCAGTTTATTGAGGCTATTACTGAATACTAATAAATTCCGTATTAGTTACTTATCAGTCAATCATCAACAAACATCTTGACATAAATACTTTACCAGCTTAAGTTGCCACAATACATCAATGCAGTGACATAAAATTATCAAAATCAATAGCAAAGAGACGATATCAATGGTGGCGAGCGAAAATAAACACTGTGTAATAAGATTCAGAAAGAAGAAATGAAAATGGTGACTATAAATTATGAGGCGATATTTATTCTGGAGTTTAGGGAGGATAAAAGCTGATATGTCTTTGTCTTGCCGCCCCTATTTCTTACCAGTCTATTACTGCACTAGTTGCCGTTTTGCGTCAGAGGGATGGTGGTGATTGGGTATACCTAATACGTATTTCACTCACTTCAGCCCTTGAGGATTTATAGTCTCACCAAGTGATTTGCCTTATTTACCTAGTACTCTATGCCTAACTTCTGAATTACTAACTCCGTTGCCCCATAAACCAAGAAATACTTCGAAAATACCTTTAATCAAATACTTACAACCTGCGTATGTTTTCTTACTTTCATACGGTTTGTATCACAGTGAAAGAGTAGCAACTGTGATATAGATGGGGATCTCGTCAGTATTACAGATGGTGCAAGTTAACAGATTTACAAGGAATCTCTTTCTATCCTTACCGGGACTTCATCAGGCACTAACCCACCAGGACTGATAAGGCTTTCAAAATAAGTACAGTGGTCAACACGATATACTACTTCAATCCCTATGACCAACTTAAGTATTGACGCCGATCAATGACATTTTATATTTCCACGAAGATGAAAGACCTCTAGCGTGCTTACATTTTTACTCGATATGTCCTGGTGAATGAAGATAATATTGAATATCTTGACCAATCAAATTAACATCACCTGCGCTTCCTATGTCAATAAGTGAACCTCTTAATAGGAGATTAAGCCTTCAAACTTCAGGTGAGGAGAGGCTTATCTCGAAAAGGATTTCCTATCAGTGTAACCTATCAGTTTCGGACTTTAACACTAATTTGTGAACCAAAATACAGTATGTGAAAGTTCTGTGAAAAGCTCCACTGATAAGCAGATGGAAGTGTTCAGTTTCTGTTCTCTCCAACTAATTATATGAAGTGGGATCTTAAAAAAAATTAAAGTTAAAACTTCTAGTTTTCCTTCTACAATTTGTAGTCTTCCGAAGCCTTTTTGCTTAATATTACATTCAGTGTTTAGTCATATCTTCAGCGTGTGTGTTAGTCTCTTTTTGTTTTTAAAACACTCAATTATATCCTCAAATTCTTGTTATTTTTATATCCATTATAGTCTCCTAATTCCCTATAAGTTTACTAATTGTAACAAACTATTTGATTACCTAATCACTTCATGTTGTATTGCTTAGTATTTAACATGGCGTTTCTCCTGTCGTTTGTGTAAAATTGTCTATTTTATTCACTGTTTTGCTAAGCTTTGGTCGATGCTTTTTCAAGCTGTAGAATAACACAAAACTGAATGCAGTCACATTTAAATGTCACTAAATATGAAATGAAGTACAACTGGTCATGTTTAAAGCACATAATATTAAAGATTAGTAGAGTGATTGTTTCTCACCTCGTAAATATTTAATCGAAATTAGATCATAATTAGTATACAAATCAGGGACTGTTTTTTAAAGAGACGTCTTACTAAAAATATTTGTGAAGCACTGTTATTAGTTATTTAGTTGTATTTTTGAAATCGATGTTGGTTTCATTCTTTTGTATCATGATCAATAAACGGACGCTTTTAAGTGGATGTTGGTAGTTACATCATATTCTTCAGCCTTCTGTTAATCAAATCTTATATTATAATAAAATTCGTTGAGGGTTTAAATCCACACCCTAAGATGTTAGATTAAGAATATTAATCTGTTAACTGTGACACTTCATCACTAAGCGGTTGTTGCGTACTACACCCATTACTTTGCATAACGAACCATAGTCTACTTTCATGCATATTATGTCTAGGATTCGAATGCATTAGAAAAAAAGCTGAACTTAATCATGGTATCGGTCTCTGAATCGTTTCGACAGGTGTAGACGTCTTGGTTCGAGGTCGGTATGATACTGGTACTCTATATTTGGTGACAGGTAACATGAGTCAAAGTCAGTTACCTTTTCATAGATGGTACGCCTAATGGAGCATAGGCCGCCGACCAGTAAATTGTTTTTCTCGTAACGTTTATTTAGCGAGTTGGATCTTTACGGGATAGGGTCGCTAACCTCCATGTCCAACCATCCTCCTTTATCCGGGCTTGGGTCCGTTAGAAGAGTTCCAGGCGGAGTTTTTTCATGGATGTATTCATTTTTTATTTTCCTCCCAGAGCTTCGTTTTTAGTGTTCCTTCATACATATCTTTCTAAACCATATTGTGTATGTCTTAACTTTTTCGCAACCTCAGACTGCACTACTACATCCGTTCTTTTCACAATGCTGATTCGATGTGGCAACTTGACCCGATAGACCTATGTCAGATCCTACATTGTTTTGAATAATCAGTTTACTGTTGAGCGATAAATAGAAAGTCCAAAGGAATATACCTGTTTATGTCTTATTGAAAAGTCCAATATTTAGTATGTACAGTGTTAAATCTTATTGTTGCACAACTTTTAAACGTAATTTAATTGTCAAAATGTTTTTCATTTCCCTTTTTAATTCATAAACAGATGTAACTGGTTAGCAACTGCTGGCGCTAGAGATCATTTAATCAAGGTGTGGAACTTAAGTAGTCCTAGTGGGCAAAGTTCTGTTACCTGTCCGAACGTGTTATACACTGTACGTACTTCAAATGTAAATCGTGTTCGATGGAGACCTGCTTTTGTAAGTATGCATTTTAACTGAATATTGTGTAGGTAAATAGTTAATGAAAACTAGCTAACTTGTTACAACTCATCACACAATTCGGCAGTTGAACTTTCGAAATACTTGAGGGGAATCATAGACTAAGTAGTAAATAAATAGATCAATTTTAAAGTGGTCACCACAAAATCTTAAGGTTTTACATTTACTTTCGGTAGCAGTTTAATTTACACGTTAAACAGTTCAAAACAACTCCGTATTACCTCTGCGATGAGGCCATCGGCAGCATTTTCATACTCAAGAAGTTTTTTGTACCCAGCACTATCGGTCGTCGTTCCATTCATTCAGTAGATAAGTGCTGTACATTATAATGTAATTTTCATTACAACTCATATAATTTTATTTACTTGTTTAAACACAAATATTAGCACAACAAAGAACCCGAAGTATTTATGCATCTCACAACTCAGTGAATTTATGTGTAGTCTAGACTATTGTTCGGTTGTTCAAACCGAAGCAAATGTTTCTCTTCGGGGACTTTTCTCTGTTCCTTTGACTCAGACTTTTAATTCACAAAGCACCGAGGTAATATTTGATGTATTTCCATGGTAGCCGGTGATCGAGAATGAGTCTATCTGCTATTTGTTCCTTCAGAATCCTGGAGCCTATGTGCACTATTGGTGTAGAATCAGGGTTTTCTAACTCCCTTGGGTAAGTCTTCCATACCAACTAACTTGGTTTAAGAGCTGGATATCCATCTTTTGTTCCCTTAATTTCGCAAACAACATCCGATTGCGAGAGGATAGTGAGTATGATTTTTCTGCTAGTGGCTATATACGCGTAGTCATATGAGCATTTCGAGAAGAAGAG